GTACTTTTTTTGTTATTGTTGAATTTCATGGACATGCCTGTGATAGACTGGCAGTCTGTCCAGGTTGTACCCTGCCCCCTCACACTATGATAGATGAGATAGGCTCCAGCACCACCAGAACCCTGAATTTGATAAGTTGAAGAAAATGGATGGTTGAGTGGATGGATTTCATTACATACTGAAACTTGATTCACTGCAAGGCAAATAGGAAAACTACTGTTAGCTGTTTCCATCACTCTTTTACTATTATGTAGAAAGTTATTTAAGGTATCCAAAGCATTTAAATCTCTCTACGAGTTGCTCTTTAGCAATTTCAGGGTCATCAAAAAACAAGTAGTCAGGAACACCTGACTTATTCAAGGCTTCAAAGAGCATACAGAGCCATATAACACAAACACACTTTGCCCAAGGTTGGGGCATGAAGACTGATTTGTGTAGATGTAGGTAAAAGGTCCTTGGCCTAACAAACACCGATATTGCACTGCATGTCCCCATGACATGCACAGATTTCATACACAGATTTCACATACACACACACTAACATACATATAACATTTCTCATTGCTTCACCTTTAAGCTCAGGTTTCAAAGAAGGGTTTGGTGTTTGTATGTGTGTGGAAGCAAATTATGTAAAAAGAAGAGGGAATGACACAAAAGTATTGCTTTTGCCCTGCATGACAAAAATGAGTGAGAGAGCCTAAAAAGGTACACTATTGCATACCCTAGACAATATATTTACTGTTAGTAATGACAGGGCATTACTTCAGGTCACAGATTACATCTTTTTTCATTTAAAAGATTTTAACACGTTACAATGCTAACCAGAGGTTGCCTTTTTTATATTCTGGGATGATGTAAACAGCCGTACGACGATAATAAGGATGTTTTGTTCTGGATATTCTAAAGTCTTAAGATTAAGAGTTTTACCATTATCTTCATCTCTTTTTGCATCCACTTTACTTTTACTATTACCTATTACCTACATATTATTATAGTTACAATTAGAGAAGTACCGCCATCACCTTCACTGTTACTGCTAACACTTAATTACATCCATCATTTCTCACACTTGAACTTTACTTAGATGTGTATTTTTATATCCAATACAACAACACAATCAATTTATTACTGAGAAATCTTTGTCATTATTTGAAGCATCATCTGCTGTTACCACATAGTCTGGTCTGTCTGGTTTCATGTTTCCTCATGGGCAGGCTGGCCTTGAGTCTGTCTTACCTCAATAAACAAAAGCCTGAGTATTTTTTTGTTATGTTCTCAACAAAAATGTATGTTAAAAATCTCATGGTTGACCACCAAATTTTTTTAAATAAAAGAAAAATCCTGGATTTAAATCTCAAGTATTCCCTTGTTCCAGATTCTGTACTGTAAGTATCAATTTGTGATATCACAGGAAATTACTTTTTTCATTGCAGACTATTCTTTGTGCAATTTATTTTGTATACCACAAATATAAAATACACACACACACACACCCTGGAAACAACTTATTTCTATTTTAAACCAGCTGCAGACCACTTTCTACCTGTATGTTGTTGATTGAGGCAGTGTACAAATTATGTGGTACAACCGGTCTGTGGGCTACTCTTCCTTGAGCTGTTACTGGTGTCAGCCAGCCAAAGAGAAGAGTAAAGTAATAGCATAAAAGAGCTGAAGTGAGGCCAAGTGTGTCCACTGCAGCCACTGTGTGTAATTTTCATACCTAATGTTTTTTATATTATATCTCTTTTTTTCCCTCACTTGTCCCATTCCTGTCAAACACCATTCTCTATTCTGGAACACTTGTCAACCAATCCGCTTTCAACCACTGCACAACATCATCAAAAACCAGCAATTTGCAGTTGGGATTTTGGGGGACTGCATGGGAGCAAGTTTTCATTGGGTGAATACCCCTTCAAGTGCGCTGGGACAATGGGGACATATATAGGCAAATAGCACTTTTCTACTCTTTAGAAATGGAAATCAGAAGACTTGTAGGACTCCACATAGTTTCAGCGTGGAGGAGAAGTTTCAGTCTGGAAAAGAAGTTTTGGTTGGTTTTTGGGTTTCATAGGTCAAGCACTTCCCGTTATCTGAATTTACATTATCTCTGAAACACCTTCCCAAATTTCCTAAACGTTTACTGAAACTCGTCATCATGTCTTAGTCACAATCCATTAAATAAGGCAATAGTAGAACACTGACTGAACCTGTGGCACACCTGGATGAACCTGTATCTCTTTATCACTGCAACTATGTTACTAAATTATGCTCAGGTTGAACAGGCTGACTCAAATGAGATTGAAACTGGGTATGACACTGTTACTTTTTCTGTCTGTCTGTTTTTTTCTGACATTAAATGAAAAAGTCACAACCTGAATATATCCAAAGACTATCAAGGGTTTCACTTGTGAGAATGCTTTTGAGACACTTCTATATATAAGATATATATGTTTTCTGTTACTAAAGTGGCAAAAATAAAATAAAAATGACAATTAGTGCACCCTTAATTAAGGGACATACACACAAATGCCAAAACAGTTTCAGGAAAACTTTGGTATGAGATCCTCACACTAATTTAACTAAGCTTAAAACATATTAAATTCAATTTTATTGAATTGCCAATTCACAATAAAAGTCACCTCAAGGTGCTTTACAGTGTAAACCCTACAATAATACAGAGGAAACCCCAACAATCAGATGGCCTTCTGAGTAAGCACTTGGTGACAGTGGGAAGGAAAACCTCACTTTTAATAGAAAGAATTCTCCAGTAGAACTTGGCTCAGGGAGGGACAACTATCTGCCACACCTGGTTGGGGTGAGAGCGACAGTGCACTTCAGTAATGGATGTAATTACTGTATATTTGTACTGTATTGAAACATTGTCTTCAACTTATATAACTTATACAAATACCTCTTTATGCCTGTTTGAACAAACAGGATAAAATCGTATGTGCTGGTTTAAAACTAAAAGGTCAAACTGAAACATTAACTAATATAAAACTGTGAAGACAAGTTTCTGCTTTGTTGTTAACTGCATGTGCTAACTGCTGCCAAGTTGCTTTTGGTGCAAATAAAGGGTACTACAGGCAGTGTTACCCGAAAGTAACCCCAGCCTTAAACCACTTCAAAAATCACACCCCCGAGGGAAACACATTCCAGGTTCAGCCCTCACTGAAGAAAAGCTTAGAAAGTTATCCGTTTGACAGAATGGCTGGCCTGCATCCAAGGATAACTCAACCATTAAGCAGAGCAGCTCTGACCGGACATTTCAAAGTTTACAGATGAAATAGTCCTTAATGTTGTAATCCGGGCTAATTCTGGTGTAGGTTCTTCTTCCCAGTGGCACCACTTCTCTTATGACTTATGCACCAGTTATCACAGAAAGCCAGATCAAGATGTGAAATATAAAAAGTATGTTATATTATTCTACAGTAACATTTTATCATGGTCATTTTCAGAATTTCTGATTAGTTTTTCTCATATCACTCACAGATACAAACCTCAATACATACTATACATCTGCAGGGGTACATCTAACCAAAAGAAGTTATTCTGTCTTATCTTTTTGAACTTGATTTTTCATCCTACAGAATAACAACTGATAATATTTATTCTCTGATAAGTCGTTCAAACAGATTGCAATGTCATTCTATAATAATAAAAACTTTTTTATGGGTTGATTTCTGTCCATCAGTGAGTAAAGTGTAGCAGTACTATAAAAATATTGTGACAAAGTAACAATGAAAGAACTTTAAATATCAGAGCATAATTAAATATATTTCAATACTCACATCACTTTTTAAAAAGATTGCAATGCATTAGAACAACATGTAACAGTTTTCTTAGTAAGCAAACAAAACCAAGCACTTATTAAAAATATGTGTACATATAGTGTATTTGAGATCTCATAAGGGAGGAGATTAATATAGAACAAGCTTGTAACAGGTTAAAGTGACAAAAAATCCACTGAAAACCAAGAATTATGTCATCAGCCTTTGTCTCTCCCAAATATTCTCTAACAGACTCACGCAATGCTGTCATGCTTACTTATAAACAAAGGCATTCAAAAGTCCATGTGGTCACTCCGCAAGCATCTCCACAGAGCAGTAACGAGATTTACCATGACAGCCACACTCAGCCATAACAAACCCAGTGGCTTTCACTGAATGCTTAAGTATGGCTGGGAATCAGCTGTGCACGACAGCATTACTGACTGCTATGTCCATGTAATTAAGAGTAATTCTACATATATTGTAATGCCTAGATATCCTCAGTACCAACAAATAAAATTAAACTAAAACTTACCAGGCTTCTTCTCATTTATGAGTTTCATAATGGTGTAATATATCGTCTCACGGTGTGAACAAAATAATAATAACAACAACTGAAAAACGTTAAAAACTGTATCTCCGCAGAAAGTCTTCAGTCCCGGAGATCAGAAAATACTTAGCTCGTTGAATAAAACGAGACTTTCACACATTCTCTGTTAAAACTTCCAACTTTACCCGGATGAACCTACTCCCATCATCAGAACATACTCGGTAAATAATGGGGCGGGACTGCTGCTCATTCGCCCTGACTCTTGTAGACAAGAGTCCAGTGCTTATTGGCTGCGGTAAACCAGGCCCACTTATCAGGAGCTTTTTCACCACCAGAAACCGACCAATCACAGCGTTCCAAATGCAACCTGAGGGTTCATTAAAAACAAAAGGGGGTCTCCCTGGCGACGGCAGGGCTTGAAGATTGGACAGAACAGTTCGAAACGCATTCTGATCGGACACCAGTATGATCTGAAGCAGATAACACAGTTATAATAAATTATTAATCGTTAACAATGAGGCAGAACTCGTGCTGAGTGACAGCGTTTCCATTCCTGTCATTGCAACACTGCACGATTGTGCAAACACCGGCCGGTTGGTATTGCATTTACCCGGCTCATGTTTGGCACAAATGACAGCAGATACAGAAAAATCATGTCAGAACGAAAAAAATCAACTTACGGGGTCTGTGTTTTCGCACCGACTCGGTCCTCCTCCGTAGTCTGCACCTCTTGGCCGGGGACCCGTTGCACTCTGCATCATCCCCGCGGTGCAGATGATGCATGTTTTCAAAAGTGCCGCTGCCGCTGGGTACGGTGCTTGAGCCGAATGCATTGCTGCTGCTGCTGCTGCTGCAACAGCTGCCGTTAGTGGCCACCATGACATGACTGTGAAAAACCTTCTGGCTCTGCCCATTGTTAACATGAAAGGGTCCCGAAGCTCCTTTCTTATCCACCATTGACTTGGCTTTATCCATGGCAGCAGCTACCCTAGCCGAACGTAGCTTAGCATCTGTGAGGGAAACAAAACGTAAGAGCCCCAGCCGCTAGCAGTGTCTATCCCGGCTACTTTAGCTTAGCCAGCTAATACTAGCCCGTCTTCCAACGTAACGAGGCAGTCTAGCGACCAGCTAGCGTCTAAATATAACGTATTTTAATCTAAAGTATGTGGCTAAATTGTGTCGTATATTTTACTATAATGTCCGTAAAAACAAAACTGCGAACAGCCGCTAAAATACAGTGTTTCCCTTGAGGTCACTCGCGGTCATTTCCCTAAACTGAGATCCTTGCAGGCAGCAGCAGCCGGCGCGCGCGTGTGTGTCGGTGGACTGCTACGTCACATCAGCTCCTCCAGTCAAGGCCTGAACCTGTTCACCTCCTCTAACCGGTTTCCTCTGCTTTTTGCAGGAGATGCACCGCAATTCTTCGCTTTAACACAGAGACATGCAAGAATGGACTCATTCCCCGTCGCCTTCGATGCAACAATGAACTGCGGCCGCTCCCTGCTGGTTTACTCTTCACTAAAGTCTACAGTACCACTCCGTGCAGCGGTGGGCGCTTTATTTATAAGCGTCGCCGTTGGCCGTCAGCCTCATTCCCCGTAGTCCTCTCCACGCGTGATGCGCGCACAAAGCTGCCAGTCAATGTATCAGTCATGAAAATGAACCGTAGTGACCCTGAAGTTGCATGCAAAAAAACGCACATCCAACTGAAAAATCTGTCTTTTGAGCAGTGTTTTTTGTTTGTTTATTTGTTTGTTTATTTTTTGCCGCAGAATAATTTAAAATCAGTATCTGATATTTTTTATTATTATGCCCCTCTTATAATCCATTTCCTACAAACTTTATTAAAAAAATAATCTATAATAAATAGCCAGAAAAAATCATTTACGTAAGACATTGGGGCAAAGAGAAAACAATGGACAGAACATTATATAATGAGCACGGTTCAGATAAGATACAAAGGTCAAACAGCAATATCAGCTTGAAAAAAGAAACTACAGACTAGAGCAACTAATACGGACGGCAAACCAGAAAGACGGTTTGTAAAGGTCTTAAAAGAAATGCATAAAATATCCCATTACAGACACATCACCACAAACTGATATCATTACGTGATAAATACAATGAAAGGTTTAAAATACATAAATAAAATATGCTACAATTGGACTCCCCATAATTTTAGAAGCCATACACAGAGCATTTAGAACAGTCTCAGTCACGTGTATATATTGATACAAGTTATAGCAGTCCCTCTTTCACTCTTTGAAATACTATAGTTACACTATAATTGAGACCACCATGCCACAATAAACAAGCATATCTCAAAATCCCCATTATGTGGCCAGCTAGTTTAAGATAAAGCCAAACTATCTTAAAACTGTTCCTGTTGGCGTCATGCTCCCTGTTATACAGTTTATAAATCTGGGTTTTATCCTCTGACTGTGGTGGACCTCTAAACTTGCTTTTAGTTGATTTTTATTTTTAGGTTTTAGCTTCTGTGAAGCACTTTGTGATTTTTATCTTGAAAGGTGCTATATAAATAACGTTTTACTTACTTACTTACTTACCCACAAAGTTAATTAAACAAAAATATATGCTGTCTGAATGTAGCCTTTGGCAAAGATTCAGTGTTGTTTCAAAATTTCTGTTGAAATCACACTAGCTTAACAAATATAGTAATTTAACTGCCTATAATCTTATTATAAAACAGGATTCATTTAGCAAAGAAAATATTTTAAATCGGCACTTAAGCAAAAGTTCTAAATCTGAAGAAATGTGCCAGGTTTATGTAGAAACTGGAAAGTTGCAGCTTTACAGAAATGTTTTAGGCCCCTACTTAAATTCCTCTACAGCAAACACAAATCTGTGTTAACAGGATTAAAATGTGATTAATTTTTTAAATAGTTATTTTATTTCTCAAAGTAGTTTTGGCTTGTGCAAAGGTGCCATAACCCTCCTCTGCACATGTCCAAACCATCTCAGCCTTGTCTCTCCAACTTTGTCTCCAAACCACTCAACCCGAGCTGTCCCTCTGATATGTTCCTTTCTAATCGTGTCCACTCTGGTCAAACCAATGACTGTATAAAAGATCTTTTATACAGTCATTGGGTCAAACCCAGTGAAAACCTCAACATCTTCAATTCTGCCACCTGTCTTTTTTTCAGTGCCGCCGTCTACAAAACCATGCAGCAAGTTTCACTGCCATCTTGTAAACTCATCCACCTTCATTGTTACACCTGTCTCTCTCATTCACACATCTGTTTTGTGTTCTGGCTTTCATTCATCTTCTCTGCAGAGCATACCTTCACCTCTCCAGGTTCCTGTTCTTTGGCTCTTCTTTGGCTCTCGGTGGAGGCGGACGCATCTTTCCCCCTCTCCCTCCCTCATCTTCCCTGCTGGTGCTTCTGGGTTTGTCTAGTCTCGTCTAACTCTTATCCTCAAAGAGTTTCTCAGTCTTGTTCTTTAAAACCTAAAGAATTATGGATTTGATCAACTGGTCCCGTAACGGAATTGACACCCTGCTGGGCTTGGGAGAGCCCGATTGTCCTGCGGAGACGTTTGCTGCCGGATACTTGATGGTCGGTTGCGTCGTGTGTCTGGCGACACTCTTGATGAAGGACATTGAACGACATCTACCAATTTGGAACCACGATAACAGAGTTTGGGCTAATTGGAGCTGGCTTGGACCTGGCTTATCGAAGAACAAGAAGCGGACAGATGTGGACATCAGATCAACTGGAGGCGCAATCGAAGATTGCAGCGGTCCCAGATCAGCTGTACACACTGGAATATTCTCCCATGTTACTTTTCTGTGTTTTATTGTGTTATGGTGTGTTGATATCTGTGCATTCCTGTATTATCCTTTTGTGTTACACATTTCGATGTTTTTTTCCCCCCTTGCTACGTAGCCTGACCTGTCTCCCCAATGTGATGTTTGTGTATTGTATGTACGGTAGGCAAGGTCTGTCATCTCGGTTGTGGGCAAAAGACCTGCAACTGGCAAATAAAGGCTATCTCATCTCTCATCTTCCTGTTCACCTGCTCCCTACTCTGACATTGTCTACAAACATTACAGTTCATGGAGACGCCAGCCTGACCTCATCTGTCAACCTGTCCATCACCACTGTAAACAAGAAGAGGCTCCGAGCTGATCCTTAATGTAATTTTACATGCTCTAAATAAAAACCATCCTCCGTGCAAAAACACAGTGATGAGGTGTGGTTGACTTTATTACTACTACTTGTGAAACATAGGTTGACTAACAATTATTGACCAACAACAATTAAACAAAAAGACACATGCTTTATAATTGACAGCAAAACCGACCCACCTAGTCATAGAAGTAACCGTGTAACTATGAATATTATCTTATATGTAGTGAAATCTTTTATTTAAAGTGTAAATCTTGTTTTAAAAAGCAACTTACAAAACCAAAAGCCTACAAATTCAGTAATCTATTTGCATTATTGGAGTTGTATTCATTTTCTTATGATTACTTCTTATGATTACGGGGCGACTGTGGCTCAGGGGATTGGGAAGCTCATCTGTAACCGGAATGTTCTGTCAGTTTGCCCCAGGGCAGCTGTGGCTACAACTCCACCAGTTTGTGAGAGTGAATGAATAGTGGAATTGTAAAGCGCTTTGGGTGCCTAGAAAAGCGCTATATAAATGCAATCCATTACATAT